TGAGGGGTCAACAAGTTCTGCTAGTGTGTCAAAAGAGTCAGGGACTAGAACCAATTGCCATTACCCAGGATAAAGAGCTGTTGCAGAGCAATACTGTCAGAAAGAAGGGAGCAAACAGGAAGGAACAAGTCCCTTTTCTCCTCTTCCTGCTTTCCAACCTCCTTCTAGTGGTCCATGTTGATGTAACTACCAGCTGGCAAAGATGATTTGGTTTTGCATTGTCCCAGCCATAGTATCACAGAGCAAAGTATAGAAGGGTAGGATTGAAGGTGAGAGGCCGTAGTAGGATGCATAGTAGAAAGCATATGTCTCTAAATATAAGCTTACGAGTGTGTGTGCACACGTATGCGTGCACACACACACACACATATCCTAAGACCTTGGCATACACTATTTTGGCATTAAAAATATTTTTTCTTATTATAGTATTAACACATATTTATTTCTTTCCTTATTTTCCTTTCCTTTAAGTAGAAAATACAAATGAGCTCATAGAAGAAGAAAAGATCTATCCCACTGCTGGAAAGATAATCAATGTTAACACCTTCATTTAGATCCTTTTAGACCTTTTTCTCAATGTGTGGGTGTGTATTTTTTTCATGAAATCGCATTATACATACCGTTTTCTAAGCTGCTTTAAAAAACACCTTACCGTATCATCAAAAATTGCTCACATCCATCCATATTTATTTATTTACAACTGTGGGTTCAAAACTGTTCCTAGGAAGTGTCTTATAACACTTAATGGGAGGGCCCTGCATTCTACCATACACCTCAATCACTGCAATTCCACTTTTACTTGTTTTATATATTTGATTTCTGTGGGGAAAAAGAATTCAACTGCCAAAATATTAGAAACCAACTGATTCATCATGTAAGTATTATATCATTTTCCATTTTTATGACAACAAAGGGTAACTTTGTATCTAAATTTTTGTACAAAGCCCTAGTAACATGGGACACCATGCTTTTTACTCTTTTTACTCTATTTGACAGTACCTGAAAATTACTTTAATTGGCATTTCTTGGATTACTAATGAGATAGCCAAGGTTTTGTTTAATTGATGGTCATTTGCGTCTGTGGCAGTCTTTCTTTACAGACTCTAAAATTTTCCAAGCATGGCCCTAAACCCTTACTTTCTGTTTAATGTACAGAGCCCATGCCTCTTCCACATCTCCCAGTTCAAGGAAGCTCTGACTTCAAATATCCACTGCTCACCTCCAACTCCATTTCCCTGCCCTCTGTTTTCGGTAATGATTGCAAATCCTCCTCCACAGACTACACAGATGCTTTTACTCTGGGGCCCCTCATCCTCCTAGTACTCGACCCCAAACACCTCCATATCTAAAGCTATTTTTATTTTTCTTCCTGGCTTGGAGAATAAAGGCTTGTTTGATCTTTAAGTCAACCTCTTTACCTGAATATTGATCCCATCCTTGTTTGTCTCCTCTGGGATTTAGTATGGTGCCTGGCAAACAACTGATGCTCAAAAACTTTATTGAATAAATAATGGGTCTTGTTCTATTAATTTTCTCCCCTCTATCTCCGTGATATGGTTGGCTTCTCTAACTCTTTTGGCTCCTTTCCTTTAGCCTATATGTGAGCAAGTCATTTCCTGTCCATAATGGTCAATTTTGTGTATCAATTGGGCTAGGCTATAGTACCCAGTTACTCAGTCAAACACTAGTCTAGATGTTTCTGTGAAAGTATTCTGTAGATGGGATTGTCAGTTACAATCAGTTGACTTTAAGTAAAGGAGATTATCCTGGGAATCTGGGTAATACCAATCCAGTCAGTTAGAAAGTCTTAAAAACAGAACTGAGGTTTCTCTGAAAACAGGAAGGAGGAAGAAATCCTATCTATAGACTGTAGCTTCAGCTCCTGCCTGAGTTTCCAGCCCGCTCTTGTTGTCATGTAGATTTCGAATTTGACTATCCAAATCCCGCAATTGTGCAAGCCAATTTCTTTCAATAAATTCCTTAAAAAAAAATCTATATATCTATATCCTATGATTGTGTTTGAATGGTGGAACCCTGACTGATACACTACCTTAAAATGAGAAACAAAACAATACCCTATTACAAATTAAACTGTCTCCCCTTCTTATCTAAGCTTCTAAAAATATTATCCTATATTCACCATCTCTACATCCCTCCCTTTGCAATCACACTTTGAGCTATAGTCCCATTTATTCAACTGGTGAATTGGCCATATTCTTGTGGACGGCCTATGGGTGATCTCAAACTCAATATATCAAAAGTTATCTCATTATCTCTGCCACCTACCTAAATCTGTTCTACTTTTGAAACCTATATCAAAAACTCAAAGCAAAAATCCGGAAGTCATGCTAGACATCTAAGTATCTAAATACCAGACATTTAATAGGTTCTACCATCCATCTTCAGTGCCAGTGTTTGAGTCCAGGCCATCATCATGTCTTGCCTCAGTGTTTGCAACAGATTCCTTTACCTCCTTATGTCCAGTCTCATCTCCTTTAAATCTGTTCTTCAGGGTGCTGTTTGATGCAAAGTGACCAAAACTGTCCTGCCTAAGACTCAGAGACTCCTTTATCACCTACAGCAAGGGCTCCCCAATCAAAACTGCCATCACAAGGAGCTTTTAAAAAAACAAAGATTAGAGCCCTACTCATACCTAATGAATAAGAATTTCCAAAGTGGGGCCTGCTAATTTCTATTTTTTAAAAGCTATCCAGGTTAATTATGATCAGCCAGTTTGGGGAACAACCAGCCTTCAGGGTAAAATCCAAGTTCTGCCCAGGATCTGACACCACCATTCCCAGCTTTATCCCTCAGCACATATCATGCTCCAGCAATACTGACCCAGGACTAGTGATTCTTCCAACCCATGTTGTTTAACACCTTTCTGTCAAGGATGTCCTTCTTCCCTTATCTGCCTGAGAAATTCCTAATCATCTTTTAAAAACCCTATTCAAGCATTATCTAGTCTCTTATTCAACCAGTAAATATTGACAAACTGTGAAATTTTATACATTAAATATGTGTGGTTCTTTGTATAGCAATTATACCTCAATAAAGTTATTAAAATGCATTGAGGTCCTACTATATGCCAGGCTCTGAGTTAAGCATTAAGATATAAAGATCAGTAAACTATATTACTGGTTAGTACTGCCTTCAGTAAGCTCATATACCATTGAAGACATACAAATACAATACAGCGAAGTAAATTCTATGAGAGAGTCTATGGTAACTGAATAATGGCTCCCCAAAGATGTCCACATCTTAATCCCCAGAATCTGTGACTACGTTCCCTTAAATTGCAAAATAATTTTTGCAGATGTAATGAAGTCAGAGATTCTGAGATGGGGAGATTATACCAGGTTATTCTGGTGGGCCCAATGTAATCACCAGGGTCCTTCTAAACAGGCAAAAGGATGATAGAAAGAGAGGGAGAGGGAGATTGAAAGATGCTGTTACTGATTTTGAAAATGGAGGATGGACACACGAACCAAGGAATGCAATGTAAGTGGCCTTTAGAAACTGGAAAAAGTAAATGAATTCTCCACTAGAGCCTCCAGAAGCCCTGCCAACTTTAGTCCAGTGGGATCCATTTTGGACTTCTGACCTCCAGAAATACAAGAAGTCTTTTAAGCAACTAAGTTTGTAATAATTTATTATAGCAGCAATAGGAAGCCAATACAGAGGCCAATTCAAGACACTATGGTAGTATATAAAGGGATCTCTGTATCAAGTTTTGGAGTGGGGATGGGATGTTTAGGAAGAACTACCCAGCGGTGATGACACCAGAGCTGAGGGACAGTGTTTCAGAGGGATGATCCAAGTGGAGGAATTAGTATTTGCAAAGAAATGTAGGAAGAGGGCGCCTGGGTGGCTCAGTTGGTCAAGCGACTGCCTTCGGCTCAGGTCATGAGCCCGGAGTCCCGGGATCGAGTCCCACGTCGGGCTCCCTGCTCAGCGGGGAGTCTGCTTCTCCCTCTGACCCTCCCCCCTCTCATGTGCTCTCTCTCTCATTCTCTCTCACAAATAAATAAAATCTTAAAAAAAAAAAAAAAGAAAAAAGAAATGTAGGAAGAGCATGGCCAAGTGTTTCAATAGGGCAAGGTTACTTGTATTAAACAGTCGGAATAATAACAGTATTAATTCTGGTAAGAGTAAATATCTGCTTGTATGCCAGGCACTGTTCTAAAGCACTTTACAACCCTAAGGTAGGGACTATAATTTTCATTTTACCCATAGGATACTAAGGTTTGGAGGGGTTACACAACTTTCCTGAAGTCATAGAGCTAGTAAACGGCAAAGCTAGAATTAGAACTTTGGTGGTCTGTCTCCAAAACCCATGGACTGTCTCTCTAATACATTACGGTGGATGACTTTCTCAACTAAGGTCACGTCAGTGTGGCTGAAGATAAAGAATCTATTAGAAAGTTATTAATGAGGTGAGGATCAGCAGAGCTTGAGATACCGTCACGTCTTAAACACTGATAAAGATGGGGTTGATGGAGAGTCAGAGGGCCTCCAAGTTTCTTTGATGTGATCGCGGTTTTGCTGTTGGTGTAGAGGAAACTTCCTTGACTGTCTTGGACAAAGTAAATCCCCTCTTCTGTGTTTCAAGTGCCACACCTTTCATAAACCTCTATTTAATTTCTTTCGTTCCCCCTAATGTCTGATGCGGAAATGGGGGTGTATGCGTAGCCTCAGTTTTTACATCTGTAAAATGCCTTGGAAGTAATTCCAAATTTCCCTGTGTGGAAGCCTAAACACAATGCAGATTCCTCCCCGCTTTGGCGATTCTGATTGACTAGTACTGGGATGGAACTTCCCCCAGCCCCCAACCCCAACCCCTCCCAAGTGATTCTGATACGCGGCCAGGTTTTGGTGACCAGGGACTGGACGACCATCCTCTCCAGTCCACTATACTTGGTCCACGATTTGGGGAAGGTCCCGCCCCCACCTCCGGGCCCCGCCCCAGTCCCACCCCTTGCCCTCTCCCTCCCCTAGATTTCCTCTCTTCTCCCCTCCCTCGGTCGCTTCATTAGGTCTCGCCCAGCTCCGCCCTTCCCAGCCCCTCCCCGGCCTCCCAAGATGGCTACGGTGCTGCCGGGCCTGGAGCCGTGGAACCGCGTGAGAATCCCGAAGGCGGGGAGCCGCACCGCAGTGACCGTGCAGGACCCCGACTCGGCTCTGGGTGAGTGAGGGGCCCGGGGAACGGCAGACGCTTCCGGAGGAGGTGTCCGGCCGGGCCGGCGCACGTGCGCGGTAGGGGCGGGACTTCCTGAGCCCGCGGGACCCTGGGAAGGGGCGCGGGGCAGGACCGGGCCAGGGCGCCTGGGCTCCCGAGCTTGCCGGGAATCTTGTGGGGACTCTGGCTTGCTTTGGAATCCTCCATTAAACGCACTGTGCCTACCGCACGGCCTGGCTGGAGCGACGAGTGCCCAAGGCTCAGCCCCGCGCCCAGGGGGGCGGAGAGGTGGACGCAGCTAGCGTCGGGGAGAAGTGCTGCCTGGAAACCCTGTGCTCGCTCAGCCAGCCAGCAGCCCCGTTCGCCCTGCCGCGTTTCCTGATCTTTTAGGAAGGCGCTGGGGCACTCTGTACTTATACTGCGGTCTTTCTGGCCTCCAGTGCCTCATCTGTAAAACGGGGTTAGTGCTGCCTACCTATCACGGTTGTTGAGAGCATCTAATGATGTCATGAGGGGAGAGTGCTCTTAAAGTGTTTTATCCGTGGCCCTGCTGTTTTTTGGCAGTAGGGCCCAATAGTTAGGAGCTTGGCTCAGGAGCCAAATTGGGTTTGAATCCTGGCACTTGGCTCTGCTGGAGTTGGGCAGGTTGGGGGGTGTCGTTATTTAACCTTTCTGTGCCTCAGCTCATTTTCAAATGCGGATAAACCTAGTACCTGCCTCATAGGGCTGTTTTGAGGAAGCGGTGCTGTTAGAAAGCATTTGGAACAGTGCCTGATACGATAAATGAACACTCAAGTGATAGTTAATGTGAAATACAGTCTATCTAATCATCCCATCCTCCTCACCATCCACCCAACCAGTGCAATTTACAGATTAATCTTCCTCTTTCTCTATTAAAAACATTTTTTTTTTTTTAAGATTTTATTATTTATTTATTTGACAGAGACACAGCGAGAGAGGGAACACAAGCAGGGGGAGTGGGAGAGGGAAAAGCAGGCCTCCTGCGGAACAGGGAGCCCGATGCAGGGACCTTGGGATCATGACCTGAGCTGAAAGCAGACGCTTAACGACTGAGCCACTCAGGCGCCCCTCTCTATTAAAAAAATCTTTAACAGGATTTCTATCAGGCGTGGAAATTCAGCAACCCCCCATCCTCCAAGCAGTCCATTCTGGCTTCATATAGTTGGGGACAAAATAAAGTTCTCCCTGTTCTGTAGGAATCTGCCTTTGTCTTCTATCCATCTGGGATGCTAGTGCTACCCTTAGTACCACAGAGACACACATTAACTCCATCTTCTACTTCACACTTTTCAGACTAGGAAGGTGTTACTTCGTTCTGAGCGCCCTGTGTTCAGTCAGGCATTCATCAAATGTAACTTCCAGTTGCCACAGTGGTTTCTCTTACCTGAATATATTCTTACCTGAAAGTAGTACCCACATACTGCACCTTTGCTTTTAAGAGTATGAGTTTATCCATTCTGCCTTGCTTATGTACATAACAAAATAGGGGATTTAGAGAAGTCTAGAACATGTACCCCGCCATCAAAGTCCTTAGGTGTAAGTATACACCAAATGACTGCAAAGTATTCATATGAAAGATTATTAAAAATCATAGTAAAATGTGATACAAAGATATTGTTTAACAGATGTTCTCTTAGTGATTTCTGGACTTTATATCCTCGGTCACCATTTTCCATCTTTTCACATACTTAGAATTGTTAATAATGTTCTTATAGTTAAAGCTGATTATATGAATTTGTTCTTAATCCCCTTAGTAAGGAAAGATGTTCCTTCAGGGTATTTTTACATAATAAACTTAATGTAGAAATACATACTAAGTTTTATTAAATATCTCTGGTTTAGACCTTTGTGTTGCAGCTGTAATTAGAGAATGCTGTCTTGTTACACTGTCACTGAAGAGCCAGACCTTAGATGCAGAAACAGATGTGCTATGCGCAGTCCTTTACAGCAATCACAACAGAATGGGCCGCCACAAGCCCCACTTAGCCCTCAAACAGGTAAGGAGGAACATGTGTTTACGACTCAACATGCTTGCTTGATGAAAATGAAATCACACTGCCACTTAGTATTTTGTTATTATGGGAAACTCAGTCAGTTACTTGTGACTTAATAGATCCTCAGTCCACAGTTGCATGTGGGCTTTCATTTTTTTTTCCCCCTGAAAGCATTTCAAAAAGCAATTTATTTAGAAAGGAACTGTGTTTAATTCTTTGCCAGTCTTGCTTCTAGTGGGTAATTTTTATGAAAAGTTTCCATTATATATAATCTATAATTACAGTACTTTTGCCTAGTTCACAGATACAGTGATTTGAGCAAGACGAAGTGTTGGATTAAGAAACAATTTCCTGAGCGTAATCAAAACCCTAAAATCATAAAAAGAACAAAGTTGTGGTTTATATATTGTGGGGCATATAATCTAATCAGTAATATATTTGACTAAATGGCTGTATAACAATTTATGGAAAGTGGTTTCCTGTAATTTTTAGAGTTTAAGACAAAATTGGGCCCTCTAGTTTAGCGATTATTAGGGTTCCTTATAAGCTCATAAATTCATTCACCTTATTAATTCTGCAGGTATTTTTTGTAACTTTCTATGTGCTAGGCACTGTGCGTGGTGTTCGGTATACAGGGGTGAAACACAAATTCTCTAACTTTACAGATTTGTGCCCTCTGGTTAATTTTCTACTCCCATTTCTTAAGGCAGAAAGAATGGAGATTTCTTCATCAAAGAAAGATCTGGGAGCGTGGTCTTTCCCTAAGTTTTCTTTGCTGGGGCAGCTTTTTATCTCCTTAGGAGTCTTTTACTCCAAAACCAAATTTGAATGTATTTCAAGTTGAACATATTAGATTGAACCTATTTTTCCTCCTGGCTTCCAAGCTATGAATAATTATCTAATCAGAAAAATTTGGTGTTCTGTTTTCTCTGCTTCTTCCTTTTACGTAGTTCTCCCATTTAGTCAATTGATCGGTCAAAACTTTCTCTACGTCTAGACCCTTTTAGTTCTGGCTCCATCTTCTTTCTTCGGAACTTGTCAACTTTTAGTTGTCTTGCTATCCTAATTGATCTTTCCTCAACTCCAGTCTTTCCTATATTCTTGCATATCCTATATGCCAAATCCAGGTTAATCATCGTAAAACTCGGCTTTGATATTTTTAATGGTTCTCCACTGTCTCCTGAATAAAGATGAAACCTCTCAGCTTGGCTTACAATATCCTCCATAATATGGCCTTTTCAGTTTTCCTTAGCTCTCTCTCACCTTCATGTATTTTATATTCCAAGCAACCTGAACTCTTCACAATTTCCCCTGCTCACCACGTTCGTTCTCTCACCTGACTTTTGCTTACCTGGTCCTGTACATTTAGAATGCCCAGCCCCTCCATCTCTGCCTGGCAAAGGCCTTCCCATCCTGCAAGTCCCATTTCAAGCTGTCTGGCGGTGATAAACTTCTTCCTAAGGTGTAGCATGAGTGCATATTGTGATAATCTCATTTTAAGTTGCATTTTTTGATAATTAGTGTAGTGGAACTCCTTTTTTTTTATGACTGTGGGCTATTTGGGCTTCCCCTTTGTGCTACTCTTATGGTATTGAGCATGGTCCGCATGTGGCAGTTATTTGTGTAATGTTTTATGTCCCCTGCCGTTCCTTCGAGTAGGGAACATGTTTCATGCTGCTGCCAACTACCATCTCCATTCCTACTACTGCCTTCTGTCTGCTTAACATTTCACTGTTCACACTACTGTCATCTACTTGATTTTTTTCTCCCTTCAAAGAAAGCTCAGTAGTAGAATTAGCCTCCCATCATGTTCCCATACATAAAGCACAGAAAATAGTCTTGATTCCTCTTTCTGTATGACAATACTTTGGGTTATGAAGACTGTTCTTATGTTCCTCCCAAGTGTTTTATCATCTTGGTTTGTCAGTACTTCTCTCCTAGTGTCCAGAATTAAAAACTGAAAAGATAGGAGCTAACCCCAAAGTATTTGAAGACTATTGCTTCCACTGTTCTGAAAACTATGCTGTTATGATAGAATTGATACTTAAATTTTTAGTAGCATGTATCTAGCCTTAGCAAGATATTATCTTTGCCAGTATCAGTGCCCATCCAGATTATTACACCCTTCAAAGTCTAGATGCAGTCCCACGCGTGCCCTTCGTGTGGTATTTCCTGAGGACTACAGAATTCTTACCACATTTTGTATAATGCATAGCTTTTACCTTTTTTTTTTTTAAATAAAATGCTGTTGGGTGCCTACTTAACACTGCAAAGTACTGAGTTACAGTGGTGGATAAAATAGATGAAATATATTGCCCTTGTGGAGCTTCCTTTGTAGTTGAGAGGAGAAGGGCCATTAGTCAATCAATCCATGGAATGTCAGATTGTGATAAGTGCCATGGAGAAAAATAAAGCAGGAAAGGGAGGGGTGCTGAGGGGATTGCAACTTTAAATAGAATATATCTTTTATTTTAGTATTTAAAAATTTTATGTCTTCTTATTTTTACTACTAGATTTTTAGCAACAAGAGAATGGGAAGTGTCATATACTATTTTATTTCCCAGCAATCCTTGCATATAGTAGGTGTTCAGTATACTTTTGTAAAGTGAGTAAACCAATCACTTCCCTCATTTCTGTGGCCATTTACAAACTGCTGAAATTTAGCGCTTAATTAATTTACTATCATGTTTTAATAGTTTCATTATTAGAAAGTGTGTTGCTTCAGAAAAATCTTGAGAATAATCTCATACTTAGTTCAGTGCCCTTTATAGCATCAAGCACATCCTGACATATAGTAAATTCCTAGTTATAACCTGATTTGAGAAATTTGTTTGGCTGGGTTAATTTCAAATCTTTAAGGAGGGGCAATTGCTTTTGAGCTACAGATTACTTTACCCTAAAACAGAGGTATTCACTTGTGTTGAGTGTATTTCCATACTTTGAACTTTTGCATTTCTTTGCTTTCCTGGTCCTATCAGCGGCTATGTCTGTATTATATGAATTTGAGCTGCTCTTCCCCCTTTCAGGTTGAACAATGTTTAAAACGTTTGAAAAACATGGATTTGGAGGGTTCAATTCAACATCTGTCTGAGTTGTTTTCTTCCAAGTAAGTGGTCCAGTTGCTTTGTGATGGGCTGTGTGGTGGGCTGGGACCTCATGGTCTTCAATGTGATCTCCCTTTGGACTTTTCTTTGCCTGGTGTGAGGATATAACCCAACTGAGGAGCTTACAAATTTTGTTTTAATAAGCGGCACCTGGTATTTGTGATAGTCTCTCCTCTGTTGGCTTGTAGGAGGGACTGGTATGACACTGAAATCTGCGTCAAGATAGATTATATTGAAACATTGTCTATCAACTCCAGCGAATTATTATTGAACATAACTACTTCAAATTGGGCTTTCCAGCTCATCTGTGCTTGAAAACTGCTGTGTAAATGCTTTATAAGTAATGAACTTTAAGAAAGAAAATAACATTCTTTTCCATTTTTGAAGTGAAAACCAGCCTGTAACTACCAAAGCATGTGTCATTCCCAGCCAACCGGTGGTTGAGCTGGTGCTCATGAAGATTTTGGGAGCCTGCAAGTTGTTACTTCGCTTCTTGGACTGTTGCTGCAAGACATTTCTGTATCCTTGATCAACTGAAATGCTTTTCTGAATTGGAATTGTTTGGATATATTTAATAGTATTTCTGTTTGAAAGCTAGGAGATTTGTAAAAGTTATAATGTATTCTTAAAATTTTGCTTCTTGGCCTCCTTTTCCTAGGAATTGCCTGATACATCCATTGCCAGAGACTGCCAGTCTCCATCTAGCATGTGTTATCCTAAGGGTACTGACAGAAATTCTTAATCATAGAAGCTAAGTAATGAGAACTCTAGCAGAGTGCGTATTACTTTGTTTCCATGATTGAAATAGAATGTTTTAAAGCTTTAATTTCTTTAAGAAAATTGTTGCCCATCTGTTTCTTTCATAAATGTAACTTGTAAAATCCAAATTACTTTGGCTTTGTTTTCCAACTTTAACTTGATTCTGCAGCTTGACTGTGAAACACCTTGGCTTGCAAGAATTCATTATTTTAAACCTTGTGATGGTCGGGCTGGTGAGCAGGTTATGGTATGTATGTATGTACCTTTGAAATCCTTCATTTCTTTTTCATCTAACTCAGCCTAGGTTTTCATATTTGTTTTCCCGTGGGATGCTGATGGTGCAGGGGTTCCATTTCTTCACTTGATTAGAGTTTACTTGGGGTGGATTGGGAACCTAAGTTGATGGTTAGGTCTTTGATGTCTTAACCTGGGTCTCTCAAGTACTATTTCCAATCATCTTGTTTATTCTGTTTATTCTTAGAGGTAACATTAGAATTACTAACAGCTAACATATTATTCTTTTCTGTAATGAAAATAACTTTAATTTTTGCTGATTATAACAATAATACATGCTTATTTTAAGACATTCCAAAAGAACAGAGAAGATGTGAAGAACCTGAAACTTGCCTAAAATCTCACCATGTAGCTAAAACCTTATACATAAGATATTGACGCATATCCTTGAGACATCTTCCCGTGGAGTACTTTATTTAGTTTTAAGTAACATTTTGTACTTGGATTTTTCTGTTTGGGCTGGACTAATCTAGCTCTTCACAAATATGTGCTAGAGCATTTTTTATCTATAGTGGCAGATAGATAGACGTTTATTTTCAGCTTTGAATCTGTTGTGGTTATTACATAATCTGCAAATTATAATTACAGGCTAATTCATGACCTCCTCTCTTTTTCTAGGGTTCTCTATAAAGGTGTTTTGAAAAGGCTGACTTCTTTATATGAGCCATTGTTCACATTGCTTCAAGAGGTCTCTAGGATTCAACCACTGCCTTACTTCAAAGATTTTACTTTTCCTTCTGATATTGCTGAATTTTTAGGACAGCCCTATTTTGAGGTTTTTAAGAAAAAAGTGCCTACAGCTTTTGCAGCTAAAGGAGTAACTAAATTGTTAAATAAACTGTTTTTAACAAAAGAGCAATCACCAAGGTCTAGCGAAGAAACTGTACTCAGAATTTCCAAAAAAGCTAAACAAATGAGGATCAATACACAGAATAATGTGGATCTTGGACAGCCAATAAAGAATAAGAGAATCTTCAAAGGTAATTTGCTTTTATATAGCAAACTCTTATAATTCCCTTTATTTCTTTTCTAGTAATTTGGCAAGAAATGTCATATACTTAAGAATTCGTTGATTTGAAAATAGTATGCCTAAGTTTTTGTATCTGTGGTCTCTCCATCTCTACAGAAAAGTCATCAGAATTTGATGTGAGAGCTTTCTGCAAACAGCTGAAACACAAAGCTATTCAGGTTTGTCTGGCTTATATCACTATGGCTTACGATTTCTGTTAATTTGTGGAGTAGATGCCATTTACCTAGGGCAGAGATTGTATCTCTGTTTTTATCCCCAGCTCTCAGCATAATGCCACCTTAGTTTTCAGCCTATGCTTCTGAATGAATAGAGGCACTCCCAAGGGACTGAGTGCATCCAATAAATTTGGGTTAGAGAATGCCTTCAAAAACATCTTACTCAGTTTCGCTAGAATTTTAAAGTGTCACTAGGATCCATTGTAGGTGTGGATTTTATTAACAGTATGAGCTTTGGGGGTGCCTGGGTGGCTCAGTCAGTTTAGCGTCAGACTCTTGATTTTGGCTCAGGTCATGATCTCAGGGTCCTGGGATTAAGCCCCGCATAAGCTCTGTGCTCAGTGTGGAATCTGCTTGTCCCTCTCCTTCCCTCTCTGCTCCAGTCCCCGGCTCATGCTCTCTCTCTCTCTCTCTCTCACTCTCTCAAATAAATGCATAAAATCTTAAAAAAAAAAAAAAAGTATGAGCTTTGTAGTCAGAAATGGTTTGAGTCTTGGCTTTAGTTGGTACTAGCTGTGTGACCTTAAGCTTCTTGACCTGCCCACACCTCTGTTTTCTAATATAGTATGCCACCCATAGGGTTATGCAGTTTTCATGCATGTAAAGTCTTTGGCACAGAGTCTGGAGTATGGTAAGCACTTAACTGTGGTTGGATGTTATTAGCTATTCTCATCATTGTTACTGTCATCCTCATCTTTTGTCATGAGGCTTCTCTTTCTTTCCCGGTTAGGCTTCAAGCTTTAACATGATTCCTCTTAGTCAGTGTCTGTAAATTCTGTTCTGGACCTAGCGACAGATAAGTAAAGTACATCAGTGTCACCCACTTTGATGTGGTAATTACTTGACTTCTGTTACCATCTGTCAGATTGTTTTCTCCTGGTTTCCTGCATGGATTACTTCTTCTTTTCTATTTAAGAATTCTTAATTGGGGCGCTTGGGTGGCTCAGATGGTTAAGCATCTGCCTTCAGCTCAGGTCATGATCCCAGGGTCCTGGGATCGAGCCCCACATCGGGCTCCTGGCTCAGTCGGGAGTCTGCTTCTCCCTCTCCCTCTGCCTCTCCCACTGCTCATGCTCTCTCTCTCTTTGTATCTCTGTGTCTCAAATGAATAAATAAAATCTTTAAAAAAAAGAATTCTTAATCATTTCTGATAAGTCAGAGTTCTTTCTTGAATGTTTACAACGATTCTAGCTTGGATTTATATTCCATCCGATTTATGAGTTCTGGAGGGAGGAATCATCATCATCATCATCATCATCATTGTAGTCCTAATAATAGCAAATACATATATTGCATTTACTTTTGAAATGCTTTATGTGTGTTAATTCCTATAATCCTTGCAAAAGCCCTGTGAGGCTGGTGCTATTATTATTGTTTCCATATTTCAGATGAGAAAATCGAGGCCTAGAAAGGACAAGGAACTTGCTTAGGCCACAACACAAGTACAGGGCAGAGCTGGGATTTGAACACGGGCAGTCTGTTTTCACAGTCTCTGTTCTTTACCATTATATCAGTTCCCCAAATTGTTCTGTCAACTCTTTCTCAAGAACTATGGCTCTCTGACCCTTGAAAGTTCTGCAGTCCATCCAGCTGTTTTTGGGTGAGCTGGTTTTAAAGCTGGTTGGTTGGTCAGCAGCCCTTGTTCATGACTAATCACTACCACAGTTTTAGCAATTAGCACTAACATGCTCAGCTTGCTTCTAAGGTAAAATTTCTTTTATCGATCACCAATGCAAAGTATTGATAGGTCTCTACTTTTATATTTTCTACTACTTTTTAATGTTTTTCTTGAAAGTGAGAAATTTGGAAGAAGTTTTGAATGAAGGATGAAAGCAGACCTAGTAAGTGGCATATTTTCGTAAACACTGAAAGCTGCTACAATTCACACTTTACTTGACATAGAAGGATGGGGTTAAAGAGACAAAGGTGCCACATCAAAAGATGGTTGAATTGGAAGTGTTGTTCAGTTAAGCATTTTTAACATACATTCAGCATCATCCCTGTCTTCATGTGTTTTCAGTAACATTTATGACCCATCATTGAGGAGGGTAACTCAGGGTATGGAAATAAGTGAAAAACAAATTTGTGGTAGTCTAGTAGTATCAAGGAAAAGGGCTCTTCAGTCATTTTTTTTCCCCTACCAGATAGACTTTGACCAATATTTATTCATGTAGAGTTTCATTCTTATGTATAGATTAAATAGATATCTGTTAGAATATTTATGTTTCCCATCTGAATTCAGTTATAGATGGGATCTGTTGTTGCATAGAGGGAGAAAAAAATCTTGTGTTAGGAGCGGTGGGTAAAAAATTAAGTTGTTTTTTTTTTAAATTTAAATTCAGTTAGCCAACATTAGTTTCAGATGTAGAGTTCAGTAATTCATCAGTTGCGTATAACACCCAGCGCTCATCACATCATGTGCCCTCCTTAATGCCCACCCCTCTCCCCTCCAGCAACCCTGTTTGTTTCCTATAGTTAAGAGTCTCTCATGGTTTGTCTCCCTCTCTGATGGCTTCCCATTAAGTTTTTTAAGATAAAGGAAAGCACAGTGAGCTTTAAAAAACTTTTATTTCTTTTAAAAAGACATTTTCTAATTTTCATAGTCAGTGAGTCAACTTTTCTCTGTTGTTATATATTTATACATCAGTACCAAATCCAATATATTTTTCTCACATTTCCATGTTTCAGGAGACCAACTTTAAATGTTCTCAGTCCAAACTAAAGGCAACCAAACGTTCTTCTCAGAAAGCAACAGGAACTCCCTGTGCCAAAAGTTTTGTGCAAAGATTTCGAGAGGCTGAGAGTTTCATTCAACTTTCTGAAGAAATCCAAACAGCAATTTTGTGGTGCAGGAGCAAAAAACTCAAGGCGCAGGCCTCCTTTCTGGGTAACAAACTTCTTAAAAGTAACCGGCTTAAACATGTGGAAGCTCAAGGCTACAGGTAGGTATATAATAAGAATTATATTCCTTTACTTTTTCTGTTGTATAGGGCAAAAGTATATATATTCAAGTCAGCTTTTTTAAAAATGGGATTGCCAGTAGCCCTAGGGGGGCTAAAAGAAGGATCTATTCAAACTGCAATTTTGTTTGCCTTTGTTGGGCACAGCTGTATCATTGGGAAGAAGAAAGTTAACTTGGTTAATTGGATTTATTCATTTATGTTCTTCACCATTCCATTTGTTCATTCAGAAAGCCTTAGGAGTGTCTGTGGTATGCTAAGCCTGGGGATACATTGTGTAAGACTTAATCCTCATGGAGCACTAACTCTTCACTCTTGCTCTAGTAGGAGAGACAGCCAGTCTGCCCACAGCTTCAGGGCAGCAGAATGAGGATGTGAGAGCAGAAGGGTCTGCCTCTTACAAGGACACACACCAGACTCTGGGCTTAGGGTCAAGTAATGTTCGTTCATGGGTGCCAGACTCCCCATGTATTGATTTCTTCCTTTTCCTCTGATTCTTAGATTCACAGAACTGCTTAAGGATGGTTTTCTTTGATTGTGAGCTAGTATTACTTGAAGCATTACAATGAAGTTAGACACTTCAGGGTTTTATATTTTTATTGAGAAACTAATAGATGCCCATGGTAACAATTTTAGACACAAATGGCTGTAAAGATCAACAAAAACAAGTTTGGATTAAGAGTTGTGGGAGAAGTTGTTAAGTATTCCTAAGGAATGAATTGTTGGAAGGGTTTCTACATTAGGGTCCTTTAAAGACCTGTAGCCATCTAAAAAGGATCTATTCTAGGATGGGAACTCAGCCCAAGATGGAAAAGGGGTAGATGAGACAGAGATGACAATAATTAAGAGTTAGTGAGAAGGGTAACAAAGTGGTATTTGGTTAAACCATTATTCCCTTCCCCACAAAAATAACTGTTCTTTCGTACTGCCCTGTTTTGCTGTTTCAATATGTTATACTTACAGTACATTTTAAATTTGCTTATTGTCCATGATAACTCTATGAGGTAGGCAGTATTATTCCCATTTTGTAGCTGAGGACATAGGGGATTTTGCTCAGATTGTTACAGCTGGAGATCCAGAATTCAATTCAGATCCTCTGATTCTTCTGTTTTCATTTTTTTCTATTTCCATTTCAATTAGGAGGTACACTTACCCTCTCCCCACTTAAAAATCACCACTTAGAGTTAAGACAAGAAAAGGGTTTGGAAACTGATCTTGAATTACTACATTATAAAGGGGTTTCCTCAAAGTTGTGTATTTATTTAAAAAGGAAAAGGGGAGAGTGAGGGGGTAGAAGTTACGGGTCCATGCTAATCTTTTGAAATCTATCACAAACAGTGAGGCAGTTAGCAAGGTACTGATGTACCTTGTCGCAGTATACCTTATTCAGAAGCAAAACACCTAAAATGATCAGCTATTTGAGTTCTGAATTCCCACACTTGAGGAAGATGTAAGAATCACGATTAGGGCAGCCCAAGGTGTCAGGTGGTCTATGCCAGAAGCTCTATCTTCTCATTCTTAGATAAACTCCCTCCCTCACCTTGATTCCTTTTCCTTTGTTCACTCCCTGATACAACATGAAGTTGTTTATCCAGATATGGATTAATGCATCCAGGCAGATGGTTCTCTTTGTGATATATCCTTTCCCCAGTCCACTCCTATTACACTATGGACAGTTTAGCGGTTATCAGGGAGAGGCTCTGACACTAAAGTGTGCAGGTATCTCACCATTCAGCTACCTTGCCAGGCAGTTGTAGGAGGTACTTTACTTTGGGAACATAAGGGGGACATACTTGGCTACAGTCTGAATCAGAGGGAAGCTCTGCTCTGAAAACACAGATTTGGGTTGAAGCTCCTATTTTCATATTTCTTGTGATAATTCTGGGGTTGTACGCAGGCATAGGGCTTGTAAATACATTGTCTTTTCTTTTGGGAGTTGGTAAAAAGGAGACAAAAGTTTTTGAAAATGTCTTTGTGTCTTAATCCCAGATTTTTCCTTTCTCTTGTCCTTTAAAGTTTGCCAAAGAAACTAGAATGCATAAAAACATCTATTTGCAACTGCCTTCTTCGTGGCTCAGGAATCAAAACTTCAAAGCATCATGTGAGCCGAAGAAGATCTCAGAATAGATTTTTACTGGAACAGAGGAAACTACAGAGAAAGTTGCAGTTGACTCTCTCAGAGGCCATTCAGCCATCCCCTCAAGGGACTCAGAATGCTACAGATAGTAGTAAATGGAGACTCTCGCACTGTACAGTTCATAAAACTGATCTCTACCCTAACAGTAATCAACTCTTGAGTAGCAGAGTTTCAAATCCTGTTATAAAAACTAAAGAGAAACAAATTCATGAAAACCTTATAGGAAGCAATGAAAATGAAACTGATTCATGGACAGTGATGCAGATGAACAAACATAATACATCAGGAACCATTAAGGAGACAGATGACATTGATGATATTTTTGCTCTAATGGGACTTTAGATGTTCATTTGTGAGACATTTAAGTGCTTAACAAACTGGTCCAGTGTCCTGCTGTTTTACACGGAACTGCTGAAAAAAAATTTGGAAAGACTTGGAAGTACGACTTGGACTCAGAGATGAGCTACCTTAGTGTAACGTTGTACGGCAGTTCATTTCAGTTCAATAAACATTTATAGTAGCTCTGTGTCATTTAACTGACAAGTATTTGAATATTAAATAGTCAAATTTTGAGTTGGACTTTGTACCAGGGGTTAAGATGAAAAAAATCTACCATATCCTATCCTTGAAAAGCAGATATAATTCCTTGATTAAAGCTGTAAAACAGCTGTCCCTGAAAAACAGAGTAATTTTATGATTTACCAGGGAATTAAGAACTGAGTAATTAGGTTTATAAAAGCCCACTCTGTGCCTTAGGGTATATGGGGAGTCAGGTGGGGTGAGAAGTATCAAGGAGTGCTTAAAAGGTCACTTTGGTCTTAACTGGCTTCATTGTAGATAAGCCCATCTCTGAAAACCAAGACTTGTAGCTTCTGATGGTTGTACTGTCTTGATTATAAATTAGAATTGATCATCACAAGGGTCTAAAAAATTTTGCCACTGTGTTCTCAGGGGCTGGTCACTACCATATTTCACTTCATTTGTTTACCTTATCTCACAGGAGGGCATATTAAAATGCTTTTGGAGTTCTCCAAAAATTTTTGGGTTTTTCTCTGGTTTACTTATTTGGGTGCTAGTGACTGATTCCAAATAAACTTTTTTTCCAAAAAGGATGTAAGGTGACATGTGGTTATACATGATATACAACCAGGATGACAAAGTAGAAGTAGATAAGAAAGTTAAATAAAAAAATAAAGCTTGGTTGACATAACATAGACCCAGGAGTGAGGCCACACAAATCTATAATTTAATGCTGATGCTGTCATCTGGTATTTTTATATTGTTTGTACCATTGCTCAGAGGGTGGATCTTACATATTTTCAAATATTCTAGTTTACTAGAATTAGGTCAGTAAGCTTCTATTTGTTAAGAAGGTTGTAGCCTTAAGTTTTACGTTATATGTAGATTTATAGAAAAATAAAACAGGGCGCCTGGGTGGCTCAGTTGGTTAAACGACTGCCTTCGGCTCAGGTCATGATCCTGGAGTCCCAGGATCGAGTCCCACATCGGGCTCCCACCGCTCAGCGGGGAGCCTGCTTCTCCCTCTGACCCTACCCCCTCTCATGCTCTCTGTCTCTCATTCTCTCTCTCTCAAATAAAAAAAACAAACAAAAAAAACCTTAAAATAAATAAATAAATAAATAAAAAATAAAACAGTGCCCCAGTATATATCGCACCCTTGTTTTCCTTGGCCATCCTTATTCTATTTCCGTTCCATTCTTTATCTGGCCTTGTTCTTTCTGAGATAATGACCTGAGCTGAAATCAAGAGTTGCATGATTTTCCCACTTACCTATACTGGTGGTTCTCATACCTTAGGCTGTTTTGAGAATCACTTGGTGGGTTGTTTAAAAATGCAGATTACCTTCTGAAGAGACTGATTAACACAGCCAGGGCATGGGAACAGAAGCCTGCATGACCTCATGACCCTGAGGTCAAAACCCAAGCTGAGATCAAGAGTCAGATGCCCAACTGCCTGAGCTACCCAGGTGCCTAGAAGCCTGCATTTTTTAACAAGGAGCTTAGGTGATTCTGATGCAAGTAGTCTGCAAAGCAGAGAGAAACACTGTTTTAGCTTCCTTCTTTCTGAAGCCTTGCTAAACATCCTGGTTTACTTCAAAGTTCTTAATAAATTGCCTGGGTGGCTCAGTTGGTTAAGCATGCAACTCTTGATTTCAGCTCAGGTCATTATCTCAGGGTTGTGAGATGGAGCCCACGGTGGGCTCCGAGCTGAATGTGGAAGTTGCTTAAGGTTCTCTTTTTTCCCCTCTCCCTCTGTCCCCCCGTCCCCCCCCCTCCCCGGCCAAAAAAGAAAAAAAAAAACTACTGTTAGTGTCATCATAGTGAATACCAAGTTTACTGCTCTGGTAGCATTAAAACACTCAGGTTATTCATAAGAGCACTGTGGTGAGACCTCCCATACCAAATCCTCTTGGCCTTAGTTCAGCCACTCCTGTGGCAACCAGTTTCCAGTAGGAGTGGACAACTGCACTTTGCCTCCTGTTCCAGAGACCTCTTTCTTCCTGCTCCTTCTGACAAGTTGCAGGAACTGCTTGGCACTTAGGCATGCACAAGCTGGAAGAAGTGTGGAGCCACCTTCTCCCTACTTCAAAGACAACTCAGAGGCACATTTCCTAAGGCTCCCCAGAAGGTCCCTCAAGATCAAGACTAGTACCTATGTGATGTCCAACTCCTGCATCCTTGATTGACTTCCTTTCTTCTGTTTCCTTTCTCCATCACTCCCGTACCCTGGGATCACTTCCCAAATAAATGACTGCATGCAAACTTCTGTTTTGGGCTCTGCTCTTAGAAGAACCATGGCTAAGACAGGCAGTAAAGTAACACTGGCAAGCAAAATGATGACTTCTAAGATTAGTCTATTGTAACCATATATTTTACTTTGTGAATGCCTACATAAAGTTTTTTGTTTCTTTTTAAAAACACTGCTGGTTAGAATAGACCAGGGCTATCAACTATAAAGCTGGAAACATAATCATAATAGAATTCCCTAAAAAAGCCACAAACTTGTTTTACAGCCTTAAATTTTTATCCAGGGCTACTGCTATAATTTTTTAGTATTCAGCCTCACTTTGAAAAGCTAAGCCACTTACATGTATACGTCAGTAGCATCTTCATAAAAATCTTTTCTGTTAACTTTAGCTCAAAGTAAGGCTTTATCTTTCCATTCTGAATCTTACTGTACAATTCTAAACTGGTCCATCAACTTTTTTCTCCTGCTTTTTGCAAATATCAGTGTTCTCACTTAAAACTAGTTCTTGGTTTTTGTCTTTCACTAGAGAAAATGTTACCACCTCTATGACAAGAGGTTTTCTGTGATAAGTCTGAATTTTGCTGTATTCTTGGTTGGTTTCACTTCACAATAGAGTATTCAGATATCTTTTACACATACAATACTATTTTAACTTCTATAAGCTTTGTGAGTTATAAATGAAGGGCAGAGAAATCAAGTAATTTGCCCAAGACCCAATATAATAAATATTAGAACTGGAACTTAAATTCTGGTCTTCTGATTCTGAATCCTGTGTTCATTTGAAGGTGAATGATCCCAGTCTGAAATGACTGATGTTTCCAGTATGGACTGACTGAACTTTTATCAAGAATATTTTTTTTTTATATTCAAATAAGGACTCAGAAAAAAAGATAAATTACAGGCATAGAGAGAAGCATTTATCTTCCATCTACCTATAAATGCTTAACAGAAAAGTAGCCCCTTTTTTACCTAGCCCATTTTAATACTTAAATATACATAATAGACGTTGTCTTTAAAAGACAAAAGCCCAATAAAAACAGGGCGAATCCTTCTCTACATAGTAGTAAATAGGTTTTCACATAATGGACTTATATATGCTCTTGTTTGTCAATATGTTAAAATAGAAACACTGTTAAAATAGGAACAGTATCTGTTCTAATGAACTGCACAATTTATTTATAAACTTTTTTTTCCCCACCACAAATTCATTCTTGCTTTGGGAAGATGCAGGTTTTAAAGATGAAATTATGCTTCTGCAAATTATAGATACACGACATTTAAAACAATGTTGAAATTCTATATGTTCAACTCCAGTTGGCAAAAAGAATTTTGAATCTTCAGCTAAACTAGAGGCCATCAGTCTTAAGATTTCCTGTTATATTTGCTATAAAGCATCTCAACAGATGGATTCCAGAATAGGTCACAGAACTGTGAGAAGAAAAGAAAAATTTTCTTATTTCAGATATAGTAATATATTTGAATTCATCTAACTTAAAAACTGCTTAAAAACTCTTGAGTTCCACGTATGAAACCGAATGTCTTAATTTGTTCTACCTTTCCTCTCTTCCACCAGCCTCTTGTATTCGAAATCTGATGATCCACGTTATCTGATCAATTTCCTTCCGGATCCTAAAAATTTCACCGTATCTACAACTTTGCCTTTTATTAACCAGACTAAGTTTTTTTTTTTTAAATTGAGGTATAATTGACACGTAACATTAGCTTCAGTTGTACAACATAATGATTAGATACTTGTATATATCGTAAAATGATAGCAGTAAAGTCTAGTTAACATCTGTCATCAAGCATAATTATAATTTTTCCTTTTCTTGTGATGAGGAATTTTAAGATCTGCTCTCAGCAACTTTCAAATATGCAATACAGTATAATTGTCACCATGCTATATATCTCAATGACTTGATTATTTTATAACTGGAAGTTTGTACCTTTTGATCCCCATCACCCATATCTCCTATCCCCCAACCTCCACCTCTAACAACCACCAATCTCTGTATCTATGATTTTGCTTTTTTGTTGTTTCTCAAATTCCACATATAAGTGAGATCATATGGTATTTGTCTTTTCTGCCTGACTTATTTCATTTAGTATAACCCCCTCAAAATCCACCCATGTTGTCACAAATGGCAAGATTTCATTCTTTCTTATGGCTGAATTGTATTCCATTGTATATATATCCACACTTTCTTTGTCCATGCATCTACCAATGGACAGTTAGGCTGTTTCCATATTTTGGCTATTGTAAATAATGCTGCAGTGAATGTGGGGGTGCAGGTATCTTTTTTAAATTAGTGTTTTTGTTTTCTTCAGATAAATACCTATAAGCGGTATTTTGGGATCATATGGTAGTTCTATTTTTAATTTTTTGAAGAACCTCATACTATTTTCCATAGAGTCTGCACTAATTTCATTCCCAACCGTGTACATGGGTTCCCTTTTCTCCACATTCTCACCAATGCTTGTTATTTCTTCTTTTTTTTTTTTTTTTTTTTTTTGCCTTTTTGATAATAGCCATTCCAATAGGTGTGAGGTGGTATCTCATTGTGGTGGTTTTGATTTGCATTTCCCTGATGGTTAGTGATGCTAAGCATCTTTTCATGTTTTCATCTTTTCCTGTTGGCCATGTGTGTGCACTCTTCGGAAAAATGTCTATTCAGATCCTCTGCCCATTTTTTAATCAGATTTTTTTTTTTTTTTTTTGCTATTGAGTTGTAGGAGTTATGTATTTCAGATATTAGCCCCTATCAGATACATGATTTGCAAATACTTTCTTTCATTCAGGAAGTTGCCTATTCATCTTGTGGATGGTTTCCTTTGCTGTGCAGAAGCTTTTTTTATAGTTCACTGTAGTCCCTCGTGTTTATTTTTGCTATTGTTGCCTTTGCTTTTGGTGTCGAATCCAAAAAATCATTGCCAAGTCTGATGTTAAGGGCCTATGTTTTCTTCTAGGAGTTTTATGGCTTCAGGCCTTACATTCAAGTCCTTAATCCATTTTGAGTTAATTTTTATGTATAATGTAAGACAGTAATCTAAGTTTCATTCTTTTGCACGTAGCTCTCCTGTTTTGCCAACACCAGATATTGAAGACACTGCCCTCCTCTCATTGTATATTCTTGGCTTCTTTGTCATAGTGACCATATATGTGTGGGATTATTTCTGGCCTCTCTATTCTGTTCCATTGATCTATGTGTCTTTTTTTATGCCAGTACCATACCTTTTTGATTACTGTAACTTTACAATATAGTTTGAA